GAATTCGAATTTTTTTACGGATAATAGAAACATTTCTCAGGTTTGTATAACAATTTCTTACTACACCTTGGATACGTTTGAAATGCATTTCACACTAGGCATTCGCAGTATTAGGCGTTACGGCAACCTCTGGCAAAATTCAAAAATGGCTTAATAAAAGTTCACTTCATGTGGTCTGAAGGCCAGCCACAGTCCAGACTACAGTTAGTACTCGTGAAACTAGTTTTTACTATAGACAATAATATGAGAATATATTAATGGTAAATTCCGGCTTTTGTAGTCTATACAAATTTATTCATTGATAAACGCCACTTTTGGCTTGAAAATTATTGAAATACACGTTTATATATCCTTATAATATTTAAAAGTATATGTTGGTTTAAAAATAGTCTTTAAAACACACACATATAGAGCCGATAGTACTTATAACCATTTTATATCGCTGATAGTCCTTAAACTATTTTTTTTAAATCCACGTTTTAGCTCTGATAGTCCCTGAAGTCCTTTAAAATAGTTTTCTTTAAACGTCCACGCGTATAACTCTGATAGACCTTGAAAAAATATTCTTTGAAAATCCACGCCTATAGCTCTGATAGTCCTTGAAGAATTATTTTTTTGAAGATCCAATCTTATAGCTCAGACGGTGCCTAAAATATATATATATATTTTTTTTTAAAATCCAACTATTAAAGTCGTTGAAAATTATTTGTATATATTTTAAAAATCCTTGCATATTTCCCCGATAGTTCTTTGAAAAAAATCTTCGCTTGAAACATATCGTTTAAATCAACACTAATAATTGTAGAATATATCAATTACCTTTTAACGTATTGTTTTGGGAGGCTTATCTGTTTTCGCCTGAAAACATAAAAAACACAACCCAAGAAATTTTTAAAAACTCCAACAAAGGCCAGATACGACATGTGTTATAAAAATGTCAGACAAGTCATTGGTCGGTCGTTTGTTTTATGAGGTGAAATGAATCAAAACAAGTCCAACCCAAAGAACCAGAAGGAATGAGGTGGTTGGTGGTGGTATCCAACCAACATCATTTAGCCACCGACCGACATCATTTCGGCATTACCCACTGTGAACTGTTAAAGAATGTTGTTCAAATCAATTCTAAGTCATGGTCAAATTGAAGATAGAGAACAAAACGGAGTACTGACAACATCGAACGAGCGGGCGAGCTGTTTGCCTACAACGATTTGGTGTTACTTTTGAAATTCAAGTTATTTACCATGACTGGCATTTATGACAGTTCAAGAGTACAGGTTGTATGTATACATATTCATATGAAGAAACATTTTTTTCATTATAGCAGAACAGCGGATGGGAAATAAGTCGTAATCGTAAAGAGGCCCTAAGATAATCTAAATTTTGGAAGTGATTTATTTAACAAAAAGAAAAAATCAAAGTCAGTTAGAGGTGGAATGTGGTGCCCTACACTATGTTAGGTATGTGGAAGATGTGCTCTTGGAATGCACATTTAAGTGGTCCTAGAAATGCATTCATATCTCAATTTAGGTTGGAATATAGTGAACGCCACTTGACTTCGATCATTCCACTTTTTAAGGGTAAGAATGCTATTATTTGAAAACAAACTGGTATAATAATCCTTCAGATCTTCTTCGAAGAAAAGAAAGGGTTGGCCTAAAATTATGTAGGGGAAAAAGAAATCCATTATTTTTTCGTCGATAATTTCAATAAAATCTGGGAAATTATCGAAGTTGACCGGCATGTTAACAGTCGTAACATCGCCTAGAAGCTAAAAATCGACCATAAAACCTTTTACACAAACCTAGATTCAATTAACAGAAAAAAATAGGATGGATCGAATTTCCATCCGTGGAGCCTTGACCAAACGGAATGGGATATACCCATTTCTTAAACGGATGGTGACTAGTGGTGAGAAATGGATCACATACGATAACCCTGTGCGAAAACGATCGTCAAAGAGCGGTGAAGCACCTCAAACGGTGGCCAAACCAGGACCAATGGCCAAAAAGGTTCTGCTATGCAGCTGGTGGGACTCGAAGGAGATTATTTATTATGAGTTCCTGACCAGAAACGGCCAGAATTGGCCAACAGGAGAGGTGTTGTGTTCCACCAGGACAATGCAAGGCCACACACATCTACAGTGTCTCTCCGCCGTATAGTCCGGGCCTGGTACCAAGAGATTATAATATTTTTCTTGCATTGTAAAATTTCTTCAAGGGGAGCCCCCCTCCCTTCTCGGGGCCAAAAAAGTTTTTTAGTTTTTTCGAATCTACACTAATTCAAGAATGTCCCTACAAAATGTCAAGTCAAAATCTCAAGAACTATTCAAGATATAGTAGATTTATTGTGTCAGCCTCAAGTGACGGCTGAAGGGCTTCTCAAACTTTAAACGCGTTTTTCTCTTTTGTGAATGGCGGGCACGATAAGTCAAAAACTAATTACCCAATCGATTCCAAATTTTTACCCGTTTCTCTGCAAAGGTATAGCTATCGTATGAACTAGGATAAAGCCAATCGGTGAAGATCTTCCTTATTTTTTAACTTGGTTTTTGGTCAAAAATCGGCGATTTTCCAAAAATATCTTTTCAAAGGTCCGCCATTTTGTTAATTTTAGAGCGAAGTCAATAATTCTAGTTCATACAAGAGCCAGACATGTGCTCTTTCTAACACCGTTGGAATTTTCGGATTACGATGTTCCAGTGTGGAGATATCATGCCCGCCATCAAAAATAAGGACTTTTCTTTGATCACAAAAAACAACAACAAAACAATAACAAACAATTTTGGTAAATTATTTTTCTTCTTTTTTAAAACCTTAACAAGCATTGGTATTCATTTACCAGCTCATTTAAAATCTTAAAAATAAAAAAATCGAGAATGGGGGTTCCCTTAATTAAGTCATGTCTGGAGTTGAACCCAATCTATTGATACCGTCCCCACATCTAAGATGGAATAGTTACTATGGTACACATTAATATTTGTGAATGTCCTTGGAGTCTTCAGTAATCATCTACCAGTTTATCTCTTATCCACTTTCGGGCTATAAAGGTCGAATATCAGACCGTGAACTGAAACACCCATATTAGCAGCACTTCGAAGCAAATGTCCGCCTATTTTTTCGCTGTCAGTGAATGCTGGTAATTTTTTAGTCAATGATTTTCGTCGGCAGAAGATGCTGCTGAGGAATTTATATGCAGGTTTTGGAGGCGTCTCAATCGAAGTCGAAAAAATTCTTCGACGAATTGAATGCTTTGAAAATCAGTAAAGTTTTGCATTTTCATCATAAAGTTTTTAATCTTTGTCATGCAGTAAATTACCATGACATTTTTATACCCTTCACCACACTGTGGTACAGGGTATTATGTCTTTGTGCATATGTTTGTAACAGGCAAAAGGAAACGAGATAGACACATGGTTCCTTTGGAGAATATGCAGAGAATCACTTTCTAAGTCGATTTATGCATGTCCGTCCGTCCGTCTGTCTGTCCATGTTAAATTGTAAACAAAGTACAGGTCGCATTTATAATCCGAATTTGATGAAATTTGGCATATGTCACTTATTCGGCCCAAGGACGAAACCTATTGAAATTGGGAAAAATCGGTTCAGATTTAGATATAACTCCCATATATATATATTTAACCGATTTAATGTAAACGGTCCGTATACATCTTTCAATTTGCACGAAATTTGGTACAGCCTAGTCATTTAGGTCTAGAATGATGTCTGCCAAGTTTCGTGAAAATCGGTCCAGATTTAGATATAGCTCCCATATATAGTTTCTTCCGATTTCATGTAAATGGTGCATCAATGTCCCTATATATCTTTCGATTTGCACCAAATTTGGCATAACGCACTGAATTGAGTATAGAATTATGTCTGCCAAGTTTCGTGAAAATCGGTCCAGATGTAGATATAGCTCCCATATATAGTTTCTTCCGATTTCATGTAAATGGTGATCCAAAGTCTCTATCTATCTTTGGATTTGCACCAAATTTGGCATAACGCACTGAATTGAGTCTAGAATTATGTCTGCCAAGTTTCGAGAAAATCGGTCCAGATTTAGATATAGCTCTCTTTTATTATAGACTTATTTTAAGTAATTGACGCACCAAGAAACCAATATGCTGATAGGAACAAAACGTTCTGAAATTAGTATAACCTAGCCTGTGACAAGTATGTTTGAAATCGCTTAATATTTGGATAGAGCTTCCATATATATTTTCGCCAGATTTCAAGTAAATTGGGCATCAAACTCCTCATGTCAGATTGACATCAAATTTTGCACAACTTACAAAATTGAGCATCGAATTACGTAGTTGCGTTTTCTAGAAGTACAGAAATAGCCCAACGGATGACCTATTTATATTTGTTTGAAGTCGATTTACATACTTTATGGATAGATCTAGGTAGATTCACATTTAAATAAATATCACATATTTTATTTCATCCAATTTCATGTTAATAGTCCTGTTAATATACCCATAGTGATGAAGGGTATCATATAGTCGGCCCCGTCCGACTTTACTCTTTTCTTACTGGTTTTATTTTGAATACTCACCTTGTAGTGATATAAAAAGTTCGGTAAGCTACATTGTGGATCTAAAATTCATTTGAATTCGTTATGAAATGTAGAGTAAGAACTAGAATTTCATTTGCAATATATTAAGTAGCATGGGTTATTGTAAGTATTCCCCACTCCCCTCCCCCCCCCCCCCATCCCCCTTTTGATGATGACCATTCCTAACTGACATTTAGTGCAATAAATGTCAACTGCATTCAAAATTTATGATGTTCAGGATATTACCCCCAAATCAGTTACGCCGCCACTCACAAGAAATAAAAACTACACCAATATTCAGAAAACACATTTAAGAGTCATTAATAAAAAAGCTCACTGCTCACATCTGACAATAGCAATGCGATCTTGTAAATCATGATTGTTGCTTCATATGCAATAACAAAATATAATACATTTCTCTTTTTGTTTCTTTTCTCCCCTAGTTCTGGCCATAAAACTGCCACTTCAAACACGGCTAAAATTGAGCTAACGACTTCTTCAAATCATTCATCAACAACAACGGCCCCAGCAAGCAACACACAACCTTCCTCAACGCCACCTCCACTGACATCAGCATCTGAACCACCACCACCAAAAGCCTCAAACGCCACATCCACATCAAGCGCCACCACAACAGTCTCAACATGTACCACCTCCTTAAATGACAACATGCCGCCAGAGCAACAGCATCAAACCGAACAGCAACAGCAATCGCCGAGTCTTGTAACATTTACGATTTTAATTGCCATCGAAAAGTCGCAACACCTGTGCGTAATCGATTTAATTAGCCAAAGTTTAAGACTCCTTACACGACACATTGCTCACAGCCATATATTGGCGGTTTGTCTCGATACGGGTCTAATCCAGTCGCCGAAAATCGTAAATAGCAACGAAGTTGCAACAACAAATGATGACGTAAAAACGTCTGACATTAAGAGTGACAAAACATCGGCGACAACAACGGCAGCAACTGCAACAACAACAGCAACAATCGATACAAATGGCAATTGGCGTTGTCAGAAGGTAAGTTACTGTTGTATAATTTTTTTAGGGAATTGTATACATCTTGTATAAGGATACATTCACAGGAGGTGCGCTGTGCCCCCCATCCTGGAGTAAAAAATAAAAATATATTATTGGTCAGAGTAAAACTCTTTCGAGTTGGACACATCCGTGTAACTGTTGAAATCGCAGTAGATCTCATAAAATTTAAGAATGCACTTACAATAGTGTATAGGATTTACCAATCCACGTTTTGGAATATGCAGATCGCTCACATATGGTAGTACCATTTTTCGATATTTTGAGGCTTGTAGCCGCATTTTCCAAACGAAAATACTTTAAGTTGTCTTTTCGGGGTTTTGGAGGCTGCACTATATCTGCGCAGAAAATTATGATCATTGGTCCATATTCCCATATAAAGGTCTCTCCCAATTTTCGGTATTTTGAGCATTGTAGCCGCATTTTCCAACCGAAAAAGCTTAAATTTTGCATTTCGGTGTTTTGGAGGCTGGCACACGTCAGCGCAGTAAGTGATCATTATCACCATGGTGGTATGGTGGTAAAAAGTTCGATCGGGGCGTACTTAACCAATTTTTACTTCATATGTGGAGGGTGTAAACCATCTACCGCTCGATTTTAGTTATTTTGATGGATAGGAGTTCATTTTCCAACCGAAGTGGCTGTAATTTTGCATTCCAAGATTTTTTCGTAAACGACTTATTCGAAGGCAATATACAATATATTATAAAGTTCGAACATAGAGCTCCTAAGAAGGTCCCAACACATTTTAGCCATTTTTTATGATTCTAGGCACATTTTCCAATCTATGTGACTGTAAGTTAGCAGTTCGGGTTTTTGGCAGAAAATTTGCAATGTAGTTCCACGTTCTGACATAGTATCCATACCAAATTTTGCAACATCTGTTTATGTGATTTGGTATTTCGATGTCTTGGAGGATTAAAAACATCGGTTCTTTCTGGCCGAACTATTTATACCCTTCATCATGTGGTGTAATCCGAAATGCTAGATTATATCCAATTCGGTTCGAAAATGCGCAAACACCTTCAATTTATGGAAAATTGTGCGAGTCCGTTATATGGAGAGTAAGAAAAATCATATCGAAGTTTTCTGCAAATATGTTTCTAACCCTCCAAGAATTTGGAATGACAAATTACAGTGGATCAAATTATTAACACCATTAGCTTCAAATGAAATTTACAAAACGGTGACTTTTTCTACATGTAATCGCCTCAGAATCCTGCGATATGTGGCTGTGACAGAATTTATGCATGTCCGGCAGATCGCATTTATTATCCGAATAAGATGAAATTTGGCACAGATCATTTATTTGGCCCAGGGACGAACCCTATTGAAATTGGGAAAAATCGGTTCAGATTTAGATATAGTTCCCATATATATGTTCGTCCGATTTTTCACAAATGGTGCACCAAAGAGTAAAACTTAGGCCTAATGCCACGAAATTTTACACAACGTACCAAGTTTTATTGAAATCTGTTCAGATTTAGATATAGCTCCCATATATATATTCGTCCGATTTATCGAAATGGTGCACCAATAAGTCAAATTTAGGCCTAATGCCACGAAATTTTGCACAACGTACCGAAGTTAGGATAGACTAATGTGTACCAACTTTTATTGAAATCCGTTCAGATTTAGATATAGCCCCATATATATGTTCGTCCGATTTTTCGCAAATGGTGCACCAAAGATTTAAAGTGTATCCGATTGGCACAACATTATGCGCAACGTATCGAAATGGGTCTGGGTTAACCATTATATGGAGGCTTCCGGAAAAAGTAGACCGATATTAATAATTTGTAGTGGGGACATTTGGTACGTGGACCGATAAAGCTCATCTTCGGACCTGCAGACATGAGATAACATTATGCAAAATTTTGGCGATCTATCTCAATTCGTTTAGACGCTAGAGTGATTATAACAGAAAGACGGACCTGCATAAATCGTCATAGAATTTTACGGTGATCAAGAAAATTTATACTTTATACAAATACACCCGGTTATTGATCGTTGGGTTATGTCGGTTCACATATAGACACAAATCACATATTTAACTTAGTCGGATTTCATGTCAATGGTCCTTCAAAAAATCCAAGGTCTGTAAGGATGTATTTCTTGAATGTAGCCAGAGTGGTAAAGAGTATCATATAGTCGGCCCCGTCCGACTTTATTACTTTCCTAACTGGTTAGCAATTACGTTTATTTTCCTATAGAACTATATCGTCATTATATCGCGCTTGCATAATTTAGACAATTTAGTATTCCATAAACGAATTGTTAATTCACTATTTAATTGGAAATAATGTACATTTTTGTATCGGCTCTTTGTGTTCTGTATTTGGTTGCAGCTACTGCTGTTATTGGTGGCAGATAGCCTGCAGTGCAGTGGCCAGAAGAGTTCATTAAAGTTAATGGTGTTAGGAAAAAAGCTTTTTTTGTCCATGCATACATCCAAAGTAACACATTTGACTGAAATGGTCTTTAAATGGAAGTCAAATGTAGAAATGTGATATGACATCGTGTAATCATGATGTTTGTGAGGAAGTTATGTCTTAATTTATCTATAAAGTTATTTAATTAAAAACCCAAAGTTCAGATTGATTCTGTAGGAATGGATTAGACTGTATAAATCAGATAAGTTAAGAACTATAAGAACATATCCCTCATTTGCTGTAAGACTGGCATAAATTAAAAAATCGTGATTTTTGAGTTATTGTTGCAGAATTGTTCCCTATATCAGACTTCATGTTATGTACAAAATTCAGATGAATACAGGGTGCGCAAAAATTCGCTCGCGAATGGTTCAAAAAGTATTTTGTTCGTTTTATGCTCATTTTACGAATGAATTTATGGCGATAAATTCTTTACCAAACGAGCATTCGCCAAAGAATGTTCGCACACACATAACAAAAGAGTGACAGCACACAACAACGATCGTTCGTTTCGTTTGGTGGTTGAAATTCTGACATTCTCTCACGAATGAAAACAAACATTCCCGGATTCTCGCGAATGCTCAAAACGGCAACAACAATAACAACAAACGTTCGTGAACTCAATAGTTGTTGGGCATGTGTTTTGTTATTCCACACACTTTCTGCTACACACACATTCTTTCGTTTGTTTCTGTGTTTATTTTTTATACCCTCCACCATAGTATGGAGAGTATATTAATTTTGTTTTTCCGTTTGTAACACATCGAAATAATCATTTCCGACCCTATAAAGTATATATATTCTTGATCAGCGTAAAATTCTATGACGATATAGTCATGTCCGTCTGTCTGTTGTAATCACGATATCTGCCGAAGGAATTGAGATAGGGAGCTGAAATTTTGCATAGAGTCGTCCTTTGTCTGTAGGCAGGTCAAGTTCGAAGATGGGATATAAGTACCCCCCAATATTCGGTATTTTGGGGTTCTTGAGCACGTTTTTCCAAATATCTCCACAAGAAATTATAAATATAGGTCCACTTTTTTTGGTAGCCCCCATATAACGGTACCTCCTAATTTTTAGTATTTTGGTGGTTTTGGTCCACCGAATTGGCTGTAATTTAGTATTTTGAGTTCTAAATAGGCTCCAAATCACTCCACAAAAAATTATGAATATAGGTCAATTTTTTCTGGTAGCCCCCATATAAGTGTACCCCCAATTTTCGGTATTTTGGGGTTCTTGAGCGCGTTTTCAACCGAATTCGCTGAAATTTGGTATATTGGGTTCTTATTGGGTACCAAATATCTCCACTAAAAATTATAAATATAAGTCAATTTTTTCTGTTAGCCCCCATATAAAGGTACCCCCAAATTTCGGCATTTGGAGGTTCTTGAGCGCGTTTTTCAACCGAAATCACAAAAATTTGGTATTTTGTAGCCGTATATGGAAACAAATCTCCCTACCAAAATTATTAATAGTCAATCCCTTTTAGGCGTAGTCCCCATATAACCCCATTTTTTATATTAATATAATTATCTGATTTTTCCGCGTTTTGGGTTTGGTTCTAACACTCTGTTGTAATCATTTCACCTGCGAAGGATATCGAGATAAAAAACTAGAACGTACGGTTCGATAATGAACTATATGTGAACTATTGCCCGCATTTAGGCTTAGCCGTAACCCCTGTGTGGGAGGTACCAGAAGGCATGGACCGATATTCCCCAAATTCGGACTTCAATTAAGTTTGGAAGACAATAAGATGGGATGAAATCAAATTTTTCTGAAACGGATTTGGTCCCAAGAAACATGGGGTCTAGAACCAATATTTCGATGAGGCACATTTTCACCGTGTGAAAGTGTATACACACTAATTAGCCAAAAGGCTGAGGGTATAATTTTCTATTAAAATTATTGTTTACATAATCGGTTTGTAGAAATGTCGGTATAGGTCCATTTTTTGGTATGTTCCCTATATTTTTATTTCAAGTACCTGCCAGTATATCTATGGTGAAGGGTATCCAAAGTTCGGCCTGGCCGAACTTAAAGCTTTTTCACTTGTTTATGATTGTTTTTAACAGTGCTCGCCATCATTCGCGAACATTTGTTTTCTGAGTTTTGAGAATGTTCTTCAGCAACAAATGCTTGCGAAAAATGAATCGACGACGCTTGCAGCGAAATTTTATTGTTCGTGAATTTTTCGTACAATGCGAAGATTCGCGAGAGAATGCAAATTCTTGTTCATTCTTTTTAACTTTATCATTCGCGATAAATTGAAAACATTCAAATTCTCGCCCGTGAGCATTCGTGAGAAAGAGTGTATTTTAATCATTCTTCGCACCCTGAATGAATATCTTGGTGCTTGAGAAGCTGTAGAAGTTCTTCTGTTCCTTGTAAGGTGTGAGTCGATTGAAGACAAAACACATTTTCTACAAACTCGATTTTTGCATTAAATACGCGATATATATTTAAACGTATATTTTATATTGTATACATGTGAAGGTAAATAATACCCCACCTTATCTAAGCATGTTCACATTCTGATCAAAGTTCAAC